ACATATGTGGAAAGAGATTAGACTTGTTTATACTCATTCGGTCAGCGAGCGGCAGAATCCATTCGACGCATATCCTGCGAAGAGAGCATTCACATATTTTTCAGCCCGAATAATTGCTAGAAGACAATATTTGTAGACTAGAAAAATATGTGAGGTGCAAGTGGCTGGATCGGGAATCAAACCTGAATCTCTCGCTTTTCGGGCAACTGCTCTAGATCACTGAGCTATTCAAATCTCACACCTAATGCCGCTTTTTAACACAATGATATACTCTAGATCGTTTGATAGATGCAATGCCGATTGCCATGAAGGATCCCTGAAAGATCGCTGACCAAACAGTGGCAGATGGACTCTAATAGGGCCATGGAAATTCTAAATAATCAAAGTTTGTTACATTAATTCTAAATTATTCTGTATATAGAGTATAATTCCCACAGAATAATTTCAAGAAGGTATCTGCAATGTGTATAATATTATTACAAATGTTTATTGTAACGTTATCCTGTTATGTTTTTGTAACTATTATACATACATTATCGCGGAACTAAAACAAAGAATTCAAATAAAATGAAAAAATATCGCTCTTTCATGAGAAATGTGTTGGAACTGACGTTACATCGATTATCTCGAACGTATGTTTTATCCGATCAACAATTACGTACTCAATATTAATTTCTTTCTCTCATGGAATATGTGAAATCATGTAAAACATAATTTATAACTTATTATTGTTGGATAAGAAAGACTTTTCATAATATTAATTTATACAATAAAGACTTTCATCCTAATTATAAGTGATTAATTAAGATTTTTATTCGTCAAATTACAGCTGAGCTCAATTAATTAAAGTTTATTATAATGCTAAAGCTCCAGCACAATTTCAGGAATTTTATTTTGAAGTAAGCGTTTATTAAAATCGAATGACGTATTAATCGTCTAATGAAAAGCGACCGTTAATTAATGTACAGATAGAATTAATACGCGAACCTTTATAGAAATCGATGGTGAATCTAGCGGCTTCTGGCAATCCATCTGCATGACAGTTATGCCCACACGTAGCTATAGTCACTCAGACACGAGAATGTACTACTGCGTCTGGAAATAGATAGATATATACTACTGCAACAGGAGATCACGCGCGTAACAAACGCAGCTGTATCTATAATCTGTATCTATATGCAAAGAAGCGAGAATTCCATATGTGCGAAATAATATTCATGATGAATCCGTATAACTCAGAAAGCAATTTCCGAAAGTGTTCTCTTTATGATGAGAAAAGTTAATATATTTGTGGAAAGTTTTTATACAACTTGTGTACTTTAATAATTTCTTAAAGTCGGAATTGAAAAAAACAGTATTAAAATCGCTTTTCAATTGTTTCTAAATTTTGATTTAATCGAATATTTGGGATATTACTACGAAAAATGAGCGGCTTATAAATTTTATATAATAATAATAATAATAAATGAACTAGAAAATATGTGCTGTTGATATAAAAATGTCAGTAGTTCAACAATTTACCGCGAATTAAATTTCAAATACAGTGAAGAATATATTTGCGACACAAATACTTTTCATGATGAAAGTGAAATATGTACGATGCAGAGAAAATGTCTTCAAAGCTCGTATTATTCCATGATTGCTGAAAACAATTTGAATTTGTAATGTAAAACCCATCTTGTGACGAATCGCATGCGAACTATATCATTTTCATATTTTTCATGAGACAAGAAATATTTTCTCCACTTGCCATAAAAATATATGTGTAGATTTTCACGCGGAATAATCCGTGATTTCGCTATGCATTGTTGATGATATTCGATGTAAGACAAAAACAATCACGATTTCTCGAAGTGATTGAAATTAACGTAATTTTAATTAAATGAAATAATTAAGGAAATTAATGTAATTCCAATTAAATGAAATAAATAAGAAATTAAATTATAAAGAAGTTCATAAGATATCAATTATATAAATTACAAAAGGCTAAGAATCAAGCGCTGTCTCATAGCGTAAAAAAATTATTACTCTAGTAAATTATTATAGTAAAATATATATTATAATAAATAAGATTTATCGAATTTAAAAGTCTAAAATGGAAAAATTTTTACAAGAAATTAAAAGACAAAACATTTCTTTCTGTCTCCCAAGAATCTTAATCATAAAGAGAACACTTTCGGAAATTGCTTTCTGATCTGATTGTCAAAGATAAGCCTAAAGTTAAACAATTTAAAATTTTTATGTGAGATGAATTATAAATATTTTATATTTTAGATTCTTCCCTCTCAAGAGATGACAGTTGCGAATATCGAAGTTTTTAATACATAAATTTAAGGAAATGGATAGTTTCTCTCAAGAAAACTTTAAAAAAACTCAGAGAGAGAGGGGGGGGGGAGAGAGAAAGAGAGAACTAGAATTTTATACATTTTTTACTTACATTTTTTTATACATTTTTGAAACTGAAAAGTTTAAAATTTATAACATTAAAACTTTAGAAAATTTAAAAAAGAATAAAAAATCGTAAAAAATTCATATTTTCGTCGAAAATTTTGAAGAATTAAAGTTTGCTTCATATTATACAATGCATAAGAAAATATTCTTCTATAATATATAAGTGTATGCATTCATCATATTCACATTGAATCCGCAAAGATAAACATATTTATATTTATGGAGAATATCGTATCGTGTTATTGTCACACGAATCGATTTCCTTTTCAGTATAAATCTTAAAATATTTTCAAAGAAAATATAAGAGCATATATGTATCAAAAATAAAATTTTTAAACGCGCACTCTTACATTCTTTTTATATATTCTTTAATTAAATAAAATTATATTTTTCAAATAAAAAAATCAGTTTTTTTATATATTACTTACATATTTTAAACTAAGAAATATTTATTTTTACTGATTATATGTATCGCATTTTATACAAATGGTTATATATCTAATAACTGATGATTAATTATAAGACTAAAATATTTAAAGTAATGTATAATGAATTTTAATAAATTTTAATAAATAAATAAATACATATCTTTGTTATTCTTTAAAAAATTGAAAAATAAAACAAGCTCTTTCATGATTGCTGTCATTTTTCTTATCGCAGTTATTTGCATCATCACTACCGTCAGTTAATGAAACTAATCTTTTATTACATATTCTCTCGAACTTTAGCTATTTTTAATGCTATATGTTGGAGAGATTTTAATAAAGTTATATTAAAATTATACATTTTTTAATATATAATAATATATTGAGACATCTTGTGGCCATTTTAATGTTATAATTCTTTAATGATTTTATACATGTTTTTATTTATCTGTGAATAGAAATAAATCTCTTCATAATTTGAATAATTTGTATTATTTAAGGATTGATATTATATAATTCTTTTTTTGAAAATTCTGTGACACAATTTCGATGGAAATAAAATTATCAGATTAATCAGATTCTCTTCAATAAAACTTAATTAGAATTTATCACAGGTATTTAATTTTCAATATTTCAAATATTTTGCTCGAAAAAATAACGCTTCAACACTTTAATTAAATTTCTATTAAGATAAAACCTAAATGTGTTAACCACGAAACAAACTTTCGTTATCTATTTGCGTGCATATATTTAAGATGCAATTTCGCAGACTTTTAAGAGTCTTAATGTTAAATATTTCTAATTAATTTTTGCCTCATTGTTGAATGCAATGGCCAGCTTTTTTGATTTAACATTTACCTGCAAAATAATGTAGGACGATGCTAGACTTTCTGTAAAATATAAACGAAAAAACTTTTATCTTTATTTTAGAAGAACTCTGCCAGAAATATGTGACGAGGTCTTTATACTTCAAACAAAATATGACGACCATTTGCGATGCAATATTTCGTAGAAAAGTTGAAATATGTGCTACGTAGATAGAGCATCTTTGCATTTTATCCAACAAAGACCGCATCATCCCATGGTCGCTGAAAACAATTTAAATTTGCAATGCAAAGCAGTAATAAGTTCCGGTCGGCCAGACAGTGTTGGATTCGCGAACTGTGTGCTGTTTTATTTTTTACTTTTTAATCTCTCCGACGATGAAAATTTATTTACTTCGACTTAAGAAAAATTTATGAGCTGCGTTCGTACCATCTTAACGCGCAAAATATATTCCAAGATTATTTTATAGCAAAAATAATTAATGTTAACCATATAAGCAATATGAAAAATGCGCGTGCGCTTGTACTTGTAAAATTTTACGATGATTAAACTTATAATTTAAACAAATACGTTTCTGAATAATTGTTTAGCATTTTGATCACATCATTTGTACATAAAAAATTGACATCTTGTATTCCTTAGGTACGTGCAGACTTCATGTTTCATTTAATTTACACTTGTATTCGCTATTTATATATATGAATAATATAAATTAAATAAAAAATTTTAAAAAATTTAATAGGAAATAATAAAACATAATATTATATAATTTAATTTAAATAAAAAATTTAATATAAAACGAATAAAAATTAATATTTAATTAGACCTCCCTGGTTTCCGAATAAGATTTATATTCATATTATAAAATTCGCATATTAAATTTGTATTTTATCGTAAATTAATTCATAAAAAAATTTAATATACAGCGAATAAAAGTTAATATTTAATTAGACCTCCTTGGTTTCCGAATAAGATTTATATTGATACTAAAATTCGCATATTAAATTTGTATTTTATCGTAAATTAATTCAAAAAAGCCATGTTCTCCCCTTCTGATAAATTTAAAATTAATATAAAAAATGTCAGTTTTTTAAAATCAGTATCAAAAATAATGTCAGTTCTTTTAATATTAATTTATATATTAAATATAAATTTGTGATCGTATAAATGCATTCAGATCCTTTTCCCAACAAATAAAAAGAATTATAGAGTTATCTTAATTTAATAAGCATTGAAAAATTGATAGTTTTTCGAAGAGGGATCACGCGAGAGACGGAACGGATGCAAGGTTGGCCGGCCTCGATTATTTCCAAACCTTTATTCGTACAGAGTTGTCGAGTTGTACATTAGAAATGTGCAAGGTTTGTCATCGTTTTCGAAGAAAATAATGAAATTCGTTCTTAAGAGTATGCTCCAACGTGGACGATTTCGAGCGAGAACGATTGGAGCGTCGGCGCGGGCGATTGCCTCTTTTTTTTTTTTTATACGAATATTACACTCCACGATATAATAAGTTTCACGTATATTAAAAATGATGGACTCTAATTACAGGATGGGCGATTGATTTACGTATCTGTACGTACGTGTCGATCGGTATCCGCACCGATACGTACACGCATCTACGTAGATAGATTAGGATGACAATGCGAGCGACCTATACGTATGCAATTCTTGTTTTTTTTTTTTTTTTTTTTTTTTTTTGAGCGCAGAGAGATGCTCTCTTTTCTTTTTTTATACGTATACATATATGTATATACATAATGTAACGGGTGTATAATGTACATAATGATATACATATACATATGCACGCTGTTCGCGTGCAACTTTCACTACTTATCTTACTTTCGAGAGCCAAAGTCGACAAGAAATCTCGCGATACCGGACGGCGATTTCTTAAACTTCGCGTCGCGGATCGTTGAATCTTAATTATTAATTACTTATTGATTGTACGTGTCGAGTATAGAGCGAGAGATGGTGGATCGCGACGAGAAGGGAGGATGGTAGTAAGGGAGAAGTAGAAGAGACCAGGGGAAGGGTGTGTGTGTGTGTGTGTGGAAAGTGGAGCGAAGAGAGAAATAGAAAAATTCAGGAAGGCACGGGACGTACACCATTAGAAGTGTCAACACACGATAATAACACCGGGAGCGAACCGTAGCGTGAAAGCAGCTAACGCGTTGCTTCGTTCGACGAAGCTCCGTTGACCCATCGCGTTTCTTCTCGGTACCCGGGTGAATCCTGGACGCTGATTCACTTCGTGACACCGACGACTTGATGTTGCAGCACATTTGCTCCGAGACAAGTTATTTAATATCGATTTTCAGAGACGAGACGCGGAAAACGAGATCTCTCTCTCTCTTTCGCGCGCGCGCGAAAAGAGGAGCTAGAAAGGCAACGCTAGCGAAACTCGGTCGTCCAGCTCGGTGTCCACGGTTAGATATTAATTATCCTATATCACTACAAGAACTCTCGTCAGTCTTAGCCGAGAAAAAGCCGAGGAGAGTCGCAGTCGGACCGGAAGTAAGCAGAGATGGCTGTCTCTCTTTCTCTCTCTCTCTCCCTTTTCTCTCTCTAAGTAACAATCAGAACGCCGTGAGACGGCTAATTCCGCCTCTAATATCATCACGAAGAGTGGCCAACCGTGTAAATAAATAAGGAAAGAGAAAAAAAACCCCGCACGAATTTCGGCAGTTCGAATCCTTCTCGCTCGAAGAGCCCGGATCTCAAAAGAGGTCGCGTCGTAATATACAAGTACATCACCTAATGAGTGACGCATTTTAATGATAACAGTAATTACTAACAATAGTAGCGAAGATGACAATAATAATAATAATAGTAATAATAATAATAATAATAGTAGTAATAATAATAATAATAATAATAATAGTAATAAGATATTATCGATAACAATAATTTATTATCGTCCGCAGCGACGACGCGTCCATCTGTGTGCGCTTTCTCACGAACAAAAAAATATATATATATAATATATATATATATATATGTATAACTATATATATTTTTTTTCTTTATAGTATCTCTCCTCCGTTTTATGTATCGGATATATTTACAATAATTACTTAACACGGGATTATTGGACTCCCCGGTGGCGTAAGTTTCGTGCGTGTCCGGAGGCGAGCCGTCAGCTCCAACCGACGATTCCTCCCGCGCGAGCCGGCGCTTTTGCCCGCGATTTCATCCCTCTTCCATCCGTCGAGGATTTCCGAAGACCGTCCTCTTCGGGACGTATGACGGCGGAGTGCTCTTTGAGAGAGACGGGAGACGCGGCATCAGCGGCTCGCGCGAGAGAGAAAACATTTCCTGGCGATGGCAGCCTCCGGTCGCGAAAGTTACGTCACTGCTCGAAACCGCGTCGTTTCGCGGACCCACCACTCTCGATCCCCTCGTCGATCCGTCCCGAGAAGGCTCGAACGCCTCTTCCGGTCGATATTTCTCCCCTATCGTCCAGCATCCGGCTGCGTTGGCGCCTTCTTCAACGCGTGCATCGCGCGAATGACGCGGCGCGGCATCCCTCGAAGGACCCATGGGGATCCAGAACGGTGTGCGGGTAAGTTTCTTCGTTCTTCGCGCGACAGGGATGGAAACTCTGTTTAACAGGATTGTCGAGATTCTCCCTCTCTTCCTCTTTCCTTCTCTTTCTTTCTCTCTCTCGCGACTGTTCGCCGGATAAACGCGAGCGCGCGCGGACGGACTGTGACATCATTGAGCGTTCCAGGTACGGGTGACGGTCTTTTTCTCGTCGTCTCGAACCGAACGTTTCAAGCTACGAAGGATTATTCCGTCGTTCGTGGCTGACAGGGGAGAGACTGGGTATTTCATCTCCGCGTATGCGATTAGATGCCTAATCTAGTGCGGATTCATCGGGACACGGCGTCTCGGAAGTTAAGGGAGAAAGGAGAGACAGGGACTTCTGATAATGGCCGCATTCCTTTTTTTCCTCCGAGAAGAAATATCCCCTCTGACAATTCACGCCTTTATAAAAGTTGTATCGGAGAATTCGCGATCTTCACAATCAAATGACAATCAGCTGATCACGCCGGAATTTGACATTTGCATCTTTCGATTTTTTTTTAAACGGATCAAAACTGTCTCTGCACATGTGTTATTAAAAGGCAACGATTGTTTTAGCTGGTTTTGATTTGAAATGTAGATCGTTGCGCTTTTTATTCGTTTGCATAACCGAGGACACACGACCGCCGAGTTTGTTAGGGGGAGAAACGTACCGCCCAGCGAGATTTTCATATCAGAAAGATTACAGACAGAATGAAAAAAATAGAGGAAAAGTATAAAACACGAAGAGAGAAAAAAAAGAAAAAAAAAAAAGGTAGTTCAATGAAGCGATGTAAAAGCAAGCACAAAGTGGCGAGAAAAAAAGCGCTATCTAAAAGGAATAGTAAAAGATTTGATTAAATCGATACAAGCACAACGAAAAGCGAACACAAATCTATCCTCTACATTAACAAGGTTTTTAAGAAAATCAGGTTGTCGTTTCATTGAGAAATACGGCTTCGTTTTAATAATCTCGCTCAAAAATTTCCAACAAGCCGTCGTCTCGGAAATATGAATGATCAGATTGACAGTTACTTGGACAGAAGGAAGGGTTGCATTATATGTGTTAACACATCTTTCGGTTAAAGGAGTACAAGGCAACGCTCCTCTACTTTCTCGCATCAGCTATATCATCATCACATTCTCGTTCCTCGCTCGGATAGGAAACTAAGGCTGAATTGCACCGACGATTTGAGTCAGCTAATCTTTCACTCGCGTTTTATCTAACGTACAAAGCGTCGAATGAGGACAAAGGCTAAAATAATAGAGAATCTCTCTATTAATCCATATCAATTATTTACATTTCGAGTTCCGATTGGTATTTCTTTTTTCGCAAAAAAAATATATATGTCGCGTAAGATAAAGGAAAAATGAAATTTCTCTCTTGAAAATTTCGCAAGTCGCAACACTTTACAATCGCAAATATTCATTGTTCGCTTCGCGTAAACAGAGAGAAGGTGGCTCGATCAAGATTAGCGTTAATCGACGTTGATGCAACCGGCTCTAAGAAGGCACAGTCGTTGAGTTAAGAACGTTAATGCTTCTAAACACTGAAGAGACGAAGAGTTTCCCATGCTGTTTCGCTCGCTTCGCTTTCGCCGCGGGAACGACGAACTCGACTCGAACGATCTCTCGCGCAGCAATCTTGCGGGAAGGGAGAAGAGAAGATTGAAATGAAAAAGAAAGCAGCGGCGAGGCGGTGCAGCGATTGATCGGGTCCGAGGGCTCCCGAAGATCGCGACAGGTAGCTAAGTGGTTATCGAGTACGTTGCTGCTGCTGCTGCCGTTTCTCTTGTTATTATAGCGATGCTCTACTTGCGATGCAAACGCAAGCGCGCCGGTCATTTCGTTCGTTTGTCTGTGCTTATTTTTCGGGCTGAGCTTGCTTATTTTTTTTGTTTTTTTGCGCGCGCTCGGGGGGCGGCGGCGACGGAGTGTGTGGGATTCGTGCCTGTGTCGACGACCCACTCATTTACTTGGATGCCCACTTGTCAACGACCACCTCATTTACTGCAACATAACACACACGAGAACTATTAACGAGCGGCTAGAGAAAAAAAAGAGGAGCTAAAGTGGAAAAGATTCGCAGCGTGCAAGACTGGCTGTTTCAGGCGCATTTTCCCGCGTCCCCTCCTCTCGACACATCGGTGATCTGAAACGATCGATCCTCGGATTAATTGGACTAAATGGACGAGGTCTGCTCGAACGAACGAATGTACGGATGTCCTTGCGAAAAAGCAAGCTCACGAAATCGCTGCAGTTTTGCATCAACACACTATTCCCTTCCACAAGAGAGGAACATTGTCTTTCGACGATGCGTTCTCCTCTTGTTGATACGATTACACGACAAATGAAATAAGGTATACACGAGCTTCGAATAAGTCAATACTTGCTTATTCTTATTTGCTTATCATCACAATCATGACACAAGTGGAGATCTACCGGCGCGTACAACGTAATAAACGAATAAAGGTATCGATTAAAGACTGCGACAGTACTCTAATCCCTCTAAGCTAGTCGTACATTCGTTCCCTTCCCTCTTTCCCGTCGTCTCTTGCTTGGGAAATCGATCTTGAGGTCCGATCATCATGCGGACGAACGTGCAAACGCGACGAGTGCGTGCGTTTGTGCGGTGCTCGAGGCGGTGCGTGCGTTGGGGGGAGGGGGGAGAAGGGGTGCTTTGATTTCGCATTCTCGGGGGGGAGGGGGGATTTTTTTTCTGTCATAAAAGATGTCTCCGGTCCCTCTTCGAGAGCAGCTCGAGAGTGTAGGGTGAGTGCTGAGTCGCCGAGATTTCTCGGCTGCGGCCGATTATAGGTGTCTCTCTCTCTCAAGATTTCGCCCTACGCCCCCTCGGTCTTTATTTCGACGTCGTCACCGGCAGTGCCACTGCAATCACATGAGAGCAACATCGATTATTCCACCGCACGCCAGGCCACTCTCGCTGGCTCAGCTACGGCAAGCCACGCGCTTCGTCCACTACTGCAGCCGCTAATCGATGCAAGCCTGGCGACGACGATGCATTAGTGCAGCGGTGTGAATATGTTAATCATAAGAAGACTATCAAAGAGACTACCTATATCTAAATTCTATAAAGGAGACATACATTATGTATTTATATGTCATACGAATGTATTGCGAATCCTCTTCAGCTTGGAATTCATACGGATCATGCACGTACGATAAGGAATGCGTTTTGTATACGGAATGAGCATAAAACATATACGTAATCTTTGTATATTACATCTACTTTAAATTGTGGAAACATGGAGCCAAGTCGTGGAATAAAAAAACATCACAGAATCTTAATATTTTCTTCGAAAAAATGCATATACCCAGCAAACGCCAAATAACAATTGTATAACTGTTAATTATAATTGTTACATGTTAGGTAACAATTATATTATTGCTTGGTGTTTGCTGGGTAATCATATGTAATTATAACACAATATTATAAATTATTATACAAAACACAATATTATAAATTATATAAAAAAACGCAATTTCGAGTGGTGCTCACACGTGTGGCTACCTTGAAAACATTGTCTTCGAAATACAGTTCGTGTGACACGTTTTGCGCTAGAGCGTATATACCTAAGAATTAGCCTCTTAAAATCTAAAAATTATAATCTTAAAATTTTTTCGACATTACCTGTATTATCCACGTACTCGTAGCCGTCCCCGAAGACCGTCCTTCCTTGTGACTGTACAGTTTGGCACACCAGCAGGCAGGGGGTTAGCAAAAAGGAGTGTCGAGGTCGCGCGTTGTATCGAGGGGGTGATGTTTTTCAACTTCCTCGATTTTAGGACTTGGGTCATTCCGGATCGACAGTTATCACATCGGTTTTTTTTTTCCAGTGAACGCATGCAAAAACTCCAAACACAACTTTCCATAGGAAAGACGTGGTGGTAAAGGGGAGGAGGGGAAAATGGGACACATAGTAGCCGCGATAATGGAAAGATTCGAGGATTCTCGTTATGTCGAAAAAAAATGATATTTCGGCATCACCGTTATAGGTGTTTTATCTTCCGAAATCTTGCCTTCGTATGTAAGCGAGCTGTTCGCAAGATGGTCCTCGTCGAGAAGTCCTTGCGAACCTTTCGAAATTTATTATATCGAGAAATTCCATAAAGATTACATAAATATGTATATAAAAGCAAAGGCTGCCTTAATCATTGGATGAGCGGACCGTAGTCCTGATATTTTAAAATTATCGTGTAATGCATCTCATTTTAATTTTGGACCTAATATCTCTCCACAAAATATAGAGTCTTTTCATGTACACGTAATGTTAAAAATATTCGATAAAATTTTTTTATCTTAATTTCATACACATTCATAGAATTACAAATTGAAGACAGATATTAAGTTTTTCATTCTAAGATTCTGATTTTATATTTACAATAATAAGTATAACTTCGTACAACTTTGGCCCACGCTTGAATGTCTTAAGCCAGCTATGGTTACAATGAGCATTCAGAATCTCGTGAAAGGAAGTAACAGATAAAAAAGAGAAAAAGGCAAGAAGAAGTTAAAGTGGAGCATACTTAGGGACACAGACTGAACCAAACACTTATTACGGTCAGTGGTATATTAAGTGTTCGGTGTTTTGCGATAGTAAAAAATATAACGCGATAGTTGTCAAATTTAAGCGAAAGTCACCGGCGGATCGATAGGCCAATCATTGAGAATCGAGACACGCATATTAGTAACACATGATTCTTTTTATTATAACAAGTAATGCACTCTAAATCGTTCCATATCATCGTCATATATATTATATATATATATACTCTCACTTGTTATAATATCGTTCCGTATGAGCTCGAATTGAATACACGACAAAAAGACGAATCAAAGACGATAAATAAAGAAATTGCGAACGCCCACACAAGAAATTACACATGACGTAATTATATTTATCATAGATATAGACTGGATCTCGTAACCCGCGCAATAGTCGGATTCGTGTTGTATATTTTTCTCTTTATTTATTTATTTATTTAATTTTTTTTCACCTCTACGCGAATCTGATTACACCCGCAATCATAATTGCCGAGTAATCCTATGCCGCGAAACGCATCCGCGGCGAGTGTGTATACTTTAAATCACTCAATGTCATAGTATTCCATAAGTTAATAATATTAATATTTATTTATTATCGTTAAAGAAATATAGGTACTTCCTGCAGGAAACGTCGCGTAGTCTCATCGTCGCTGGACACTGCGATTAGATTTGTCGACGTCACGCAAAAGATCGATGAGAAATATTCAAACATCTAACATTTAACTTCGATCGGACAAAAAAGTATAATTTCTACTTTTTTATTTGAATTATAATTAATGTATTAATAGATTATACACGATGCGAAAAAGAGATACAATTATAAATATATAAATTTCAATTTTTTTCCCTCGACTTCATGAAAAGCTAATCGAAATATGCATAATCGGATTGCAATTTTCATTAAACAAACGCATCGATTATTGCATGACGTCACGCAGCGTTCTTTCGTCGCGATGGCACTACTCCGTCATTCTCGATCAACGTAAAATACAATACACACTCAAGTACTTACAGATACATTGTGGACGAAGCGGAAAATCGGACGCGAAGGATTAACGAGCGACGAATCCCGAAGGAAACAGAAGCACCCCTTTTATCCGAGAATTTTATCGGGTCCCCGGACCCTCTAAGATTTACGAAGCTACTTTTGGGAGCTTCCTCGAGATTCGTCATACACGTTCCCTCGCATCCAGACTCCCCGATTAATTTCGTCGAATTTATTGAGCGTCACGGAACTGCATTAGACTCTCCTCCGACAATGATCCTCCTCCCCCGCGCGCGTGTACCTGTGCTAATTAACGTGCTACCATCTCTCCGAATAAACGTTCAGAATTCTGTGTCTTCTGATAATTTAGATTTAAGATTTCGGGATTTTTTTCTCTCTAAAAAATATTTAATATTAATTAATTTTAATGAACTTTAATGCTCGTAGAAAAATGAGCCAAATCTGAGGATTATTCATCACCTTGTAAGACGCAGAAAAATATTTGCAGGCGATTTTAGCGGCACAGATCGGCTGAGGGACACGCACGCCGGTTAGTGAATCTCTCGCGTTAAAAATTAATTCCGTTTTACTCGAGACACATGTCTGTTAGTGCGTAGCAGCGCTAACTCGTTCGGTCTGATTAAGTTTTAATTATGCCCATACCAAAGTATCACGCCTTAACCGTTGCTAATTAATTAATTATATTACACTATCGTGCCTACGGCACGATTCCTGATGGGCGTCTGCTAGCGGCGCAATTAAATTATTATTATGCGTCGCGCGCGCGGAAAACGCAGCGGAAAACGCGCCCGCTCCTCTGCGGAACACATCGTCAGTCTTGTTGCGTTTGCACATGTCCGAGGAACGGGGCACGCGTTGCGTCTCGCACGCTGGATCGCGACCGTCTTACGGCGATCTCTACGAAGATCCGAAGATGAACCTTGGATCGTGGACTGTCGGTGAAAGTGTAAAGGCCCTTCGATACGATCTATCGTCGTGTCTCACGATTGCTCTTGCTTCTATCCCAAGCTTTAGAGATAATCGCATTACGACAGATGAGGATTTTTGCTAAACGTGTCGCTAATAAATGAGAGGAGAAAGAAATAGAGATTAGGATGAGCTCTAGTGTATCTGAGACGAGGATCATACGCTTACACCGACAAAATACGATCCAAGGGGTGAACTGACTAACTGATCAGATGCATCAGAAGGCCCACGTACTCGTGACGACACCGATTATTCGTTTCGTGTGTGGCGCGTGTAGCTAAGGCAGTGACCGAACTCGTTTGTCCACTTAATCGAAAAATATATTCTCGACTAATAATCAGGGATTATCTTTCCCAATGCAAAAGTTCCGAGAATTGGCGAATGTCTGCATGTTGATCGTTTAAAGTTATGACTCATAGCGAGAAAATCAACAGGAAACATCCATAATTTAGAACAAATATATCTTCGTCCACAAAATTTATTATAATTCAATGAAGCAAATTCATCGATGATCCTTAATAAAAGTTTGTATATACCCAGAGAAGAAAGTTACTAAAACAATTTTTTTCGATAAAAAAAATGTTTAATTGATAATAATATATCATTCCTTAGAGCGGGTCTATCTTTAGTAGTAATAAAAATTGATTTCTTTTTTATATTAATCCAGTTTGTCAAATTACATTGTTTGTCGTAAATTACAAATGTATTACTTTAACATTTTAAATAATTTATGAAATGATTTATTATATTAAAATTATATGAAAAACACGTAATGATTCTTGTGAGAAACAATCTTCATTTCTAAAGCAATTTTTTTATGTATTAGAAAAAAATTATTAAATTTATTCACATATTGACTTCCTCTGCATATTCGTAAAATTTCATCCAAATCAGAAATTTTGCAATTAGGGATGTTCCTGTAAGTTTAATATGCGCGTGCTTGAAATGAAAATTGAATACAAAAAGTTTTTCGGGAGCAGAGACGGAAAACAATGATATACGCGTTTAGCCAATTATTTTATTATCAATAATAAAATAAATTTATTTAAAAAACATCTACGTCATTTTTTTTTATTAATCCTACGAGCAACGTAATTTGAATGACTATTAATAAAAATAGATAGTCGATTCTGACGTTGATATATTCGTGTTCAGATCACTGCTTTGATAATAATGTATATGAACAAATGTACTAGAAAGTCTATGGACTGCGCTTTGAGAAAAATAGTGATGTCAATTATATTATTCCTCTGCTTAACGATTGCCTTACTCTACACTTACGAATCTCTGCAGTCCATATCTGGAAATTAGCGATACGCGAATCTATGTTGTACTACATAAATCTTTCAAATATATAAATTATACACACACACACGCACACGCACTCACACATACACACACACACACACAACCTATTATATATACATATATATTCATAAATACATATATATACAATAGGTTATTCAAATAAAGGACAGACAATTATTGCAAACCAGGATGAAAAATTAGAAGAAATCCTGTCGTGTCGATTACGATCGATGTCAATAATCGCTCATTTTTAAATAATATTTACTTTCAAAAGAAATCAATTAGACGCAAATATTTACAAAATCAATTTGTCGCGCCCGTTAGAAAGGCAGATTGGTCTCTAACAACATATAACTCGAAAATCTAGACAGAAAATTAATTTATAAAGATATTGAAAATAAATTTTCTATTTTCAATTTAAATTAATAAAGAAGATATTCAGCACTCTGAAGATCCGTGAAATTGAATCGTTCGTTAATCTTGTGGCACAACAGGATACATAACAATTAAAAAGAATAGATTGTGATAAGGATCTTACGAAAACGTGCTGTTAATTCTACCGTGCATGGATTATCTCTACGAGGAGGAAGACACGGTATGCAGAATACAAAATGAGATCCGTTAGTGCGAAGTTTCTTGCATTCCTTTCAAAATTTCAGCAAACGCTCAGACAGCTTCAGTTCTGACTTCGGGGATGAAACAGGAACACCGGACACTAAGAATCCATCAATAAATGATTTATAACAAGCAACATTGAAAGCAACAGGAAAGAAATGTAAGCGAAAAATTTATGAAACAATTAATGTACGTTAATCGCGTGAACCGAATATTGTGCTAATTCAATGCGTGCGTGGTGCATTAAACTCAATCTGAAAATAAAAATCAAGGGAAAGGAAAGTCAAATATAATATAGCTACAACAATAAGAATTGTTCATTCCATCCGCGTTTCTGCCAAGTGTTTTATTGTCTTCGTTGTGTAAACGCGCCTATTACTTTAGGAATGCCTCTGTTCATGTCACGAACGTATCATCTGCGCTGAAAACCGAAGTTATTATTCCCGGTACGATTTTAACATGCTGTATTTTGTACTTTATAAATCGATCAGGCTCAATTATACACCCCGCGAACATGCACAGATATAAAAATTTATGTTATAACGTTATTAATATCGGCGAGAAACGCAGATGGAGAAATGCGTGCAATAAATCAACATGGATCTTAATTGCGTTGGTGCGCTATGGGACTGGTGCACTGACAATTTATCTGTTGCTAATCATACCGAAGAATGCATAATGCTCAAGAAAAAAAAAAAGAAGACATAAAAATAATAGTGTACGTAAATAGTGTACGTAAGGATTGGGATGTTATCAAACACATTTACATTGGAAAGAACATCTACGAATAATTTCGTATTAGTTGCAGAGGAAATTCAATGTTCAAAAGGCACTCGTAGAAAATAATTTAACGATCACAATCTTTGATTTACGCTGGGGTTTTTCTTTATAGATCACTCGATGCCACTCGAAACCCGTGATCGTTGAGCGACGTCGAGGTACGGTGTGTGATGCGGGCATGGTGGGCCTTGGTGGCGTATCTCATATACATATGGTTGTACTAACACCATGCACAACAGTCAAATTTGTTAAAATCTCACTTGAACGCACTCTGTTAATAACTTATCTCGCGCCTTCCCGCGTCACGGTGGGAAGAGCTTCGGTTAAATGCAATTGCGAGTCCAAAAATTTATAATCGCGGATGCTTTTCCATAGGAAAAAAACATCATCTGCTAGATTAATATTATTATTAATTCGCGGACGTTCTATATGGGACAGATATGCAACAGTCCAAAGAACACAGCCCACATTAGAACGATCCAATGTACGGTGTAAATTGGATTCTCACCGTCTGTGATCTTTCTGGCAACGAACTTCAAGGTTTCGTCAAGAAGTACCACTGGAATGGAGAACTTCATAACGGTAAGCCATTCTTCACCCGTTAACGGGGTCACTTGGAATACGGACTGAAACAATAAAATTAACGGTTTTTCGAATTCTTAGAATTTATCCGCGAATTTACGCACTTTGAGCTGTTGGAAGATTAAGATTTCATGACCATCCGCTATTGTAGCTTTGATATGTACTCACCGAAAGAACATCGACGTACAGAATGACGAAATGGAGTGTGAAAGAAAGAGCCATAGAGGCGATGAGCCACAAGTTGGACCAAGGCGGCATAGAAATGAGCGACTGATTCTCAGATAAGCTAAAATAATAGAATGCAAATTTTATTATAACCTGAAAATGTGATACAAATTATATAATAAGACTTTACTCACCTGTTCATGGCGTTTAACATTTCAATAGTGACCAGCACAGAGAGAGCCATAGTCATGGGATGAGGGTCAGAGAAGATCTTGCAGTTAATACCCTTGAATTCCTCTCCACCACCAAGGCACGCCAAGTGATGAGTCTATATTTTGTAAATAAGTGAAATTATGTCACAAATGATTTAAAAGAAATTCGATTTCGATAATTTTTTAATAATTATAAATAAATAAATATATATAAAATTATTATTATTATTATATCGGTAAACAAACTGTTATCAAAACTTACTACTTGATAATAGTTCAATTGAGGGCCATTCGGACTAAACATGAACCACCAAGCAGCCGAGCCGACAGTGGCAGCGCCTACGTATCCACCGATAGCCAAATAGCGGAAAAACAACCATCCGGAAATGAGTGATTCATCGGCCTTGCGAGGGGGCTATAAGGAATGCATAATAATAAATCTAGCGTTCGATAATGTGGCAGTATGTATTATTTATTATAAAGTTCTTTAATTTTACTTTGCTCATAATATCCAAATCAGGTGGATTGAAACCAAGAGCGGTAGCTGGAAGACCATCAGTAACCAGATTGACCCACAAAAGTTGAACCGGGATCAGAGCTTCAGGAAGACCAAGGGCAGCGGTCAAGAATATACTGCAAAATAACATTCAAATATTCGATTCTCGTCGTAATTTTCCTCATCGCATATTCGTATATCTCGCAAATACCTGACGACCTCGCCGATATTGGAAGAAATAAGATAACGGATAAATTGTTTCATATTATTGTAGATGGCACGGCCCTCTTCTACAGCAGCTACAATGGAGGAGAAGTTGTCATCCGCCAACACCATCTCCGAAGCCGATTTCGCGACCGCAGTGCCAGAACCCATAGCGATACCAATCTCGGCCTTCTTCAAGGCGGGAGCATCGTTTACACCGTCACCAGTCTACGAAACAATATAAAATTACTTTGCAATCTTCTAACAGATTTTATTGGCTAAAAACAAAAATATGTTTATATTATTAATTTAAGAATAATAATTCATCTTGAAATAATAAGACTTTCTACGATTTTAAGACTTACCATGGCAGAAATCTCGTTCATACTTTGTAGGAACTCAACAATCTTGGACTTGTGAGCCGGTTCTACGCGAGAGAATAGACGAGCTCTGGCGCAAGCGGCTTTCTGTTCCGACATTGGCAAATCATCAAATTCACGTCCGGAGTATGATTTACCAGTGGTATCTTCATCCTCGCCAAAGACTCCGATACGTCGGCAAATAGCTTCAGCAGTAGCCTTATTGTCGCCGGTGATGACAATTACACGAATGCCAGCGGCACGGCATCTAACAATCGAATCGAATACTTCTTTGCGAGGCGGATCGAGCATACCTACTACGCCGACAAACGTGAGATCTTTCTCATATGTATAGAATTTGTTGGAATCGCCAAGATCCATGTCGTCGGGCTTCATCGGATTATCGGCAGTGGCGAGAGCCAAACAACGCAGAGTATCTCTACCAGTTCCGTATTGCCGGGTCAACTCCAGGATACGGTTCTTCAGGGTTGAAGTAAGTGGCACCTTCTGACTACCGAGACGACAGTGCGTACATCTGTCCAGCACACCCTCTGGCGCTCCCTTAACGAATAGTTTCGGTCCAGTTCCTAACTTCGATGGTTTTAGAGGCACGCAATACGACGACATGGATTTGCGATCACGTGAGAATTCCAATGTAAATTCCTTCTTCCATTTCGTCTCGATATCTTGCCTGACAACAATGGCAGTTGTTCGACGATCCAGACCAGTCTTCGGCACGCCAAATGGATTGAGTTTCTCGGCAAGAACGATCAAGGCAGTCTCTGTGGCTTCGCCGACCTTCTCGAATGCTTGTTTGAAGTCGTTGAAATCGATAGCAGAGTCATTGCACATGATGCAAATGGTACCGATTTCGTGCAAGGTCTCATAATCCTGTCCTTTAATCTTCTGCCCCCTCAAGAAGACTTCACCGATAGGTTCGTAAGTCGATCCGGTAATCTCAAATTCGTGGAAGCTGCTGTCATTACCCTCAACCTTGTCAAAGATAAACATTCTGTAAATATAAAAATTATGCGTTAGCTAGCTTTGTATTTAAATAACGAGAAAAAACTATCCAACTTGTTAAAAATTAATAAGCGAAATGGAGCAGCATTTACATACGCATATATATATATATATATATATATATATATATATATATCTATATTTATTATATATTATATATATAATTTTGTTTATTGAATAATCTTACCGGCTAACGGACATCTGGTTAGTCGTCAAAGTGCCAGTTTTGTCGGAACAGATGACAGATGTGCAACCCAAAGTTTCTACGGATGGCAAAGATCGTACAATGGCGTTCTTTTTGGCCATACGCCTAGTACCCAGAGCCAAGCAAGTCGTGATTACAGCGGGCAAACCCTCAGGAATAGCGGCTACAGCAAGAGCGACGGCGATCTTGAAATAGTAGATGGCACCCTTGATCCAGGATCCACCGTGAGCCGGGTCGTTAAAGTGGCCGATGTTGATGGCCCATACGGCGACACAAATCACCGAAATGACTTTCGATAACTGTTCGCCGAACTCGTCCAATTTCTGTTGCAATGGGGTCTTGATCTCCTCGGTCTCCGACATCTCTGTACGAATCTTACCGATGGCCGTGCTCAAGCCAGTTCCAATAACGACACCGCGAGCTTTGCCAGCGGCAACATTGGTACCAGAGAATAAGATGTTCTTCTTGTCCTAGAAAAACACAACATTGACAATTTTATTAAAAAAAAACCACGATAAAAATTCTCTCTTCTAAAAAGTTCATTATAATATAGATTGGGTGTTCAAAATTTAATCATCGAGATTAGTTATCGAGTAATCATTTGCATGATGCAACAAATAAAACTTTTAACCTTTTCATAGAAATTGATACAAATATTGTACAGGTTTAATTATAAAGTGATAATATTTATATAACTATAGCTTCACCGACCTGATTGACGGCGCGTGGATCAGGTATAGGATCGGTGTGCTTGATGACGGACACCGATTCGCCAGTCAGGATAGATTGATCAATTCTTAAGGTAGTCGAGAAGATTTTAGAGAGACGGATATCCGCTGGGATCTTGTCGCCTACCGATATCTCCACGATATCACCGGGCACGATTTCTTTGGCTCGTATCTTCTGGACGCCAGATTTGTCCAATCGTACAACCTTACCCATCTCCGGCTCGTATTCTTTGAGCGCCTCTATCGCAGACTCGGCGTTCCGTTCCTGCCAGACACCGACTACAGCGTTGGCGATAAGAATGAGCAGGATAACGAAGGGTTCGACGAAGGCCGTGAACGCATCCTCGTGCTCTTCAAATAAGGCTAATACCTGAGGAACGATAATTAACACGTTAGCAAAGTTTTGAGGGAAAAAAGGAAGACGGACAAATATTTAATACATTCAATTTATTCAGCTGGCTGTTAAATTCTTTTCGAGATAAAGTTTAGAAACTCATAGAAAATGAATTCCAAGGATCCATAAAAAGATGTAAATAATTCGATCTTTGCAATAATCATGCAATATCAGTTAATACGTCTAATAAATAAATATATAAATATATATGTCTAATAAATAAATTTATATATATTATAAAATTATAAATTTTGATCTCTTAAAACGTACATGTTCTACTAAAATTTTCTTCTCTAATTTATTGTGGCCATGTGCTGACTTATTTTAGTTTTACAATTTGCAAATCATAGACTCCATAGTAAATATTATACATTTCTCTTATGCGCTAGGAGAAAATCAGATCACCACGGCTACTTGAAATCAATATGCTATTTTTTCACTTCTCATAGAAGATATATTTAGCCTCATTTACCCTTGAACCCCCGTAAACATATAATTACGAGGTTTTTAGCGAAGCGACATAAATTTGAGAGAAAAAGAATGTCTCTAATTTGTTTCATTCTACCACAAGTTTTGTGAAAGATTAGATCTATGACATATACTTTTATCTCATAATCCGTAATAATAGTAATCATATTTAATCAATCATAATCATATTTAATCATATTTAATCATTCGGTTTTTAGATTACTTTGCATTTTTTATTTTTTTATGATAGATGTATTCGTTTCTTATATTATTTAAATTTTATATTGTAAGAGATATATATTTGTCTTATAATCTTATACTTACAAAAGAAATAATGGCGGCTAATAGAAGAATCTTAACTAGAAGATCATCGAACTGTTCCAGAACGAGTTGCCAGATGGATTTTCCTATAAGCAAAAAATTAATGAAATATTAATAATTTCGCCTATAATATAGAAGAGAGAAAAATTTGAAGAAAATGTTATTAAGGAAATATTTTTAACATAATAATATTCGTAGAATTTCTACGAACAAGTTTTGATATTATTTTATAATATACCTTTCAAAAAATGTTGGTCTGCGACAAATTGACAAATCGACATAAAAATTGTAAGATATATAAAATTATAAAACAATTATTAAACTGGATCTAGTCTTTCAAAAATAATAATATTAATAATAATAATAATAAAATAGGTATTTAGATATAGATATTTAATTTAATATTTTTAAATTAGATTAAAAATAAAATTCTAACTTTCAAATTACATTTCAAATTATAAATTAGTCGCATAAATGTCGATGATAATTTTCAACTATACAAAACAAGCGGGATCTATTAATTGTATACACGACAATGAAATCAATGTCGAATGTGACTCGTAATAATACATCATTGTCCACGCTTGTACTATCAAAAGCAACATGCAATACGCATTCATGAGGAGTATCTCACTGAATATGTGCAAGAAAAACATTTTCCTTCGAATAATAATCACAAAGCTATTGAAAAATGTTTGCACGAGAAAAATTGTTTGTTTCTCTTTCTATTTGTGTTTCTCTCTTCACATTTTCACAATTCAATATATAACATAAATGTTTAACGTAAATATTATTTTTTTAATAAGCTCAGATTAGGAATTATTTTATCCCTACTCGACAATATTATAAAATCCATCTTTGAGACCGATTTTTAGAATAATTGAAAAATTAAATAAGCTGCATTTACAAGCTATTCGTACATATATCTATAGGTATTATTTTAACCTAAAGCAATATGAGTTTTGTGACGTGGATACAGAAGTTAATTTCGTATTACGAGGAAGGGTCCTCGTAAAAGCAGACGCAATCTCATTTCGATACGTCCAACGTCAGCAAGCACGTTGAAGAAAAATAATATGTGTCGGGAAAGAATGATAGTAGTCAAGGATCCTTGACGACTAGAATCTTTTGCCTATACGCAATTGACGTCATGTCGTCATCGCTTTACGATTGACAATTTCATTAATTATAATTTGCAGCAGCGACGAAAAAAAAGAGAAATGAAAATAATAAATATGATTGTTGAGAAAATCGAGCTCTTTCTCTTCATTTTTTCGCATTTTTTCATACTAGATGATATTTTTTCTTCTTTCTATGAGTTTCTCACAATATATCAATTCTTACATGAATTATAAATAATAAACCAAAAACTTTGATAAAACAAGTATTCTTGTAGCTGCAGGATCTAGTATTTTTTCCATGAAATCTGATAATTTAGTTAATAAAAATTAAATTAAATAAGTATAATATACGTGAATAGAAATTGTGAATCTTAATGATTCATTCAAGTCAGAAAGGAGATACTAATAAAAAATGATTTACGAAGGCGGTCAACGAGACGAATCTGTTTGGATGTGCTAGACAAAAGCATTAAGTAAGACATAGAAACAGCTATGATTTTATATTGAAACTTATTCCCACAATTAAATTAATGTGATAAAAGATTAACGAAAGACTATTATACATATATTTATGTTAAGATAATATCTTCAATTGAGACACATGTACGTTCACATCGATAATCACATTGACTTCCATGTTAACACATAATATTTAATATTTTTAATAAAAAAAGTCGAATAGAAAATTAATAATTAATTAATTAATTAATAATATTGTAATAAATTAATACATTACTAGTTCAAACATTCTTAATTAATTCGTCAATTATGTAACTTTTCAGTGTATAATTAAAATATTACACGTATCTTTTACAAAAACATTCTGTTAACACACACAATTATTATTACGTAGTAAAAAAAAATTATAATTACATAACATTAAGATCATCTCTCTTTTGCTTTAATGCATACGTATATCGTCGGTGCAAATGTGTAACGTACACATTTTGTTACATAAATTGCACGTAACGTTTGCGGTATACATTCCACGCGTCTCGGAAATTAATATCGTGGTATGATATCGCGCTGCATCGGTATACATTTCTCTTCGTCTTCCTCTCCCTCCCCCCCTCATTCTCTCACCTATACGCATATATGGCAGCATGCTTCTCATTGCCGGATTCAGCATGTTACAATAGATGTGTCATTCGGTCGATAGAATGTATACAGATAGAGACACACGCATATTCTCAGATCGATGACGATTACGGATAGTGGTATATTTGTAACCGATCGCGCGATTAATTGACGACAAGAATATCTCATTATACGAGCTTGATCATTCTTCGAGGATGTTTCGTCAGATTTCGTCATATTACGTTAAAAAAATAACATTCGAACGGATGATAACACGTCTTTCTGACCGCGCGCTCTTTCCCAGGTAACAAAAGTCATCTTTTTGACGTCACTCCGAAGCGATTTGAATAAAAGTGAATACTTTTCCTACTTGGGTTTAATACTGTTGACTCAATACTTGACACGAAGACACATTCTTTTCTTTTATGTTGTACGAACTTTTGCTGCGAAGAAAAGAAACACGAAGTTCGTCGAAAATATTCCTCATCATTCGGTCGAGAATGCTAATTTTTCTGCAAACCGAGTCTTCCGAATGTTAATTACGTCGAGACTAAGAAATCATTGACTCGAAAAAGCGTTTTCAATTTCAACTACAAACTTGATAATAATACCTTACCTTCAATTTATCTTGGTGAAATAAGAAAATTTCATCGCGCCCGAGTTTTGCGAAAAATTAGCTGGTCGATAAAAGTTTCCGTCTTTCGAAAATTTTATTTCTTATTAGCATTATCGAAAGAGGTAGTTAAGGACTCGTGCCGGAATATTAAATTATGTTCGAACGATATTAATGGAACGATACGCTGTAGCCTATCTTATCGTCGATTTATCTTTGATAGACTCAAAATATTTAAGAGTCGAAGAGACTGATTCATCAATCATTGAAATAATACGTCTCTAAATATATCTCAATAATGCGTAATTTAATTTTCATACTTTATTACTTGTACGAATAAAGAATAACATTTGTATCGCTTAAACAGCTAAATATAATATATATTGTGAAATTTAACGATCAATCTGCGGGTCAACTTTAAGGTTTTTAAAATTTCAAAAAATTCTGAAATTTTTTAATTTTTAATTTAATTTAACTTTTAGTTATAATTACAAATTTGATTGTTGTATATGAATCGAGCTTGTACGAAATAACATATTATTATCAAAGAAAATAATAATAAATATAATAAGTTAGGAGAACGTAAACAAGTTTATAAATAAATTATATATTTTTAGCAAATATATCCTGAAAAATAAACTGAGATACAAGCAAATTAACAAAAAAATTCCGTTTTCGAAATGTAATTAAATGTGTCTGTTAAAAATTAGACAATTTTACTACTTTACTATAAAAAAAATTTCCTGAGAGATTTTTTTGAATTATATATCAACACCGCGCGTTCTGTTATTTAATTTCTCAGAGAGAAAAGGTTCGCGAGAAAAGTCTAATCATTGCTTTGCGAAAGAAACAATATATATTTAATATATATTTAATATATATTTAATATATATTTAATATTATTTAATGAGATGAAAAAATTGTAAATAAGATTTTAATTCGAAGAATCTTTCACGAGAAGAGATACGATAATAATTAGACATGTATACACCTTTAATATACATTCGATGAAGACGCAATAATTTGTATCGCGAAAAATCGCTCAATTTTTTATTCCATGTGTGTGTGTATATATATATATATATATATATATATATATATATATATATATATATGATAATTCTATATCGCGAACAATAATAACCGAGCAAGAGCTGTAACCACGGTGGGTCGATCCATTGTCGAAGGTCGATGGAAAGATAGCCTGAGCCTCCGCGCGGGTCGAGTGCAATGCCGATGCAATTACGGCCGAGTCGAAGGCGACACTATGGTGTCTTTCGATACGGGTAAATGGGGCAAGTGGCATCTGCATTCGAACGGCCTTTCATCCCTCATCGTGGGCAAATTGCAAAAAAAAAATATTTCTACTATTATATATTTTTTTACGTCCAAGAATTTAGAATTAATCTTTGCCGTAAGTTTTTTATTTAACTCTTTTGCTAAATAAAGTTTTTTATCTCACGGTGGAATTAAATCTTACTTGGACTATCTCTTTCTCGCAATCAAATTATATCTATTAATTAGATTCTCGATTACATTAGAAGAGAAATGAAGAGAGAAAGACACATATTTATTAAAGGAATTAAAATATAATAATCAGAAAAATGATGAAAAGATGCAAACTCGAAGGGAATCTTGAATAAAAAAATAATGAATATTATAAAAAAAATTTAAACAATATTCTTTTATATATATTAGATTTTTCCCTCTTTTATTTTTTATATATTAATAAAGATTATGTTCCTTTTCCATGAATCTATTTTTTATTTTTTTGTTTCGAAGGGTTAATGTTGTTTCTAAAATTGGAGTTCCTAAGTAATCTTCATCAAGAGCCGAGAGATTCCCTTGAGCAGCAGATTGATACATCGCTCTTATGCATGCATAAGTGCAATCAATGTGCGTGTAACGCTAATTCTCGAAGCTTACGAAGCTGCGGGCTGGCCTAGTTTGATAGCAGACGCGTTCACATGGCGCCTAAGTCTCTTCACCCTCTCCTCCCAGCGAAAGAGGAGATCGACATTCGTCAAGTTGAGAAGTCGAGAATTTTAAGAACTCATATACACACCTAAGATTCTCAAAACGATGTACAAATCGATATAGAAGCAAATTGCAAATGGAAAGAAGAATTTTTTTGTGTTTGCTCCATCGAGAATAATTTGTATTATTACGCATGTCAATTTGTCGCAAGACCTCACCTATTTTCTACGTCACGATATCGAAGGCGATAGTCATCGATACTCACCTTCCTCAGCTGGCAATTCTGTAACAAAAAGGAAGGAACGTATTAGAATGCATGAAAATATATCTCACTTATTGAATAAAATTAATGAAAAATTTTATCAGTATGATATTAATCGATAATTTATCGTAACATGTATTTATACACCTCACAGAATTTTTAAAGACAGAAATTGACTTAACAATTAATTTTTAATAATTTTATATATTTTATGCGATGACGAAAGCTTGGGAAAAATTTTTTTTAAATCGTTAAAAGTTGCATGGCATTGCTTTACACGTGGAGAAATGATTTATGCATCTAATTCCAAGTGCTTGAATGGCTTTGAAGGATCTGCTTTAAGGCGTCCTAGTTCAAATTATACGTATAGAAGCGAGAATCGAGAATCCCATAATTTTCATGACACGAACAAATTGGAGGAAGCCGCGGAAACGGATTTCGCGTGCAGAATAGGTGGTTGAGCGAAATGTGCAAATGACAGTTTGTGAAGCGTTAAATCTTTGGTAGATTTATACTAGAGACAATATATGGCGGTTCGATATAACACGAGATGAATCGAAATTTTACAAGAAACTATTCGATATTATTATGCTAATAATTTTGCACGCGTTCAATATTTTTCCGAATGTCATAATTAAAAGAATGCGAGATAAATAATTATTTTGAATACAATCTAAAACGTAAAATTATTAACACAACGTGAATCAGATTCTCTTATTGTTAATTACATAGATATTCGACAAATACATTAAATAATTGGAAAATGGATGGATTTTTTATAATATTGTCATTTTAACGTATCTAAGAATCGATCATCGTGTAAAGACACCTATGAACCTCCAAATAATGTCCCCATTTCAATGAAGAGAGAAAGTCGAGAAAGACCAGAGATGCATATCTTTATCTTGGAAGAGAGCATTTCCAATATAATTTAATCTGCGAGGTCGATTACTCTCTTGAGCGTTCATTAACGTCTTGAAATTGAATGCGTGGGCGTACACTCGCGTATTTCTGTTTGCTGGTTCTAGTGAAATCGTCGTATAAATATTTATACATCGCGAAGACCTAGATCTTCCCATAAAATGAGCTTTTTGTTGAGCAAGAAAATCCAATGAGAACGCTATTGTATTATCATAATCATGTATAATAAATACAGGATATTTTAGATCCTTCCCGTTGACCAACAAACCTTCGTTTTCTGATTCACTTTTCTGAATTTCGGTCTAATTCAGATCTCTCGTGGATAAAGATTTCATCATCCTTATCACTTTCCTCAAAATTAAGGATGCTTTGTATGTACAATCCCAGCAAAAAGTAGCTGAAAATCAATATTGACGAATACATCCACTTTTAGTGTATTTTGAGTATGAAAAATTGCGTTTTTATTGATATATTTTATTGATATATTCTGAATTTTGTTAATCGAAATGATTAACTTTTGACAGAGAATTTCGCCTTGTGTCAGATACATGACTAACTTCATTGAATTATATTTAATATCTTTTTAACCAGTTAGTACTTGTATAATATTATTTGACCAAATATTTCCTCTGTATCTAAATTTTTGCAAATTTTAAACAAATTCTGAATATTATTTCCATGTGTTTTTGCCATTTGAATCGACATGGTTTCATTTTTCATAAGAACACGTATTAATTCGGTGCAAATTAAAATCCTTATAACTTGTGAAGGCTTTAGTGAATCGCTTTAAAAATTGTACTGAAGATTCTAAACATAAGTAAGGACATTCTGTACAATTTTCATTAAATTCTCAATATTTTGAAAATAGGTACGAAACATCCTTAACACGTTAACTGCCGCGGATATTTTTGGAAAAAGGTTCCTCAGGCCATACCATTTTTTTTTATTAATTTTCCTAAGAATGATGTATTTCGGACTATTGTACAGTAAAATTACATTTTTTGTAAATTATTTATTTTTAAATTATTCCCATTTCTTAACCTGGTCTTTCTAAAAGACAAAACTAGCGTGTATACTTTTCATGCACATGGCATTTAAACATATGTAAGAACATTCTGTACAATTTTCATTAAATTCTCAATATTTTGAAAATAGGTACGAAACATCCTTAACACGTTAACTGCCGCGGATATTTTTGGAAAAAAGGTTCCTCAGGCCGTACCACTTTTTTTTATTAATTTTCCTAAGAATGATGTATTTAGGACTATTGTACAGTAAAATTACATTTTTTGTAAATTATTTATTTTTAAATTATTCCCATTTCTTAACCTGGTCTTTCTAAAAGACAAAACTAGCGTGTATACTTTTTCATGCACATGGCATTTAAACATATGTAAGGACATTCTGTACAATTTTCATTAAATTCTCAATATTTTGAAAATAGGTACGAAACATCCTTAACACGTTAACTGCCGCGGATATTTTTGGAAAAAAGGTTCCTCAGGCCGTACCACTTTTTTTTATTAATTTTCCTAAGAATGATGTATTTAGGACTATTGTACAGTAAAATTACATTTTTTGTAAATTATTTATTTTTAAATTATTCCCATTTCTTAACCTGGTCTTTCTAAAAGACAAAACTAGCGTGTATACTTTTCATGCACATGGCATTTAAACATATGTAAGAACATTCTGTACAATTTTCATTAAATTCTCAATATTTTGAAAATAGGTACGAAACATCCTTAACACGTTAACTGCCGCGGATATTTTTGGAAAAAAGGTTCCTCAGGCCGTACCACTTTTTTTTATTAATTTTCCTAAGAATGATGTATTTAGGACTATTGTACAGTAAAATTACAGTTTTTGTAAATTATTTATTTTTAAATTATTCCCATTTTTTAACCTGGTCTTTCTAAAAGACAAAACTAGCGTGTATACTTTTCATGCACATGGCATTTAAACATATGTAAGAACATTCTGTACAATTTTCATTAAATTCTCAATATTTTGAAAATAGGTACGAAACATCCTTAACACGTTAACTGCCGCGGATATTTTTGGAAAAAAGGTTCCTCAGGCCGTACCACTTTTTTTTATTAATTTTCCTAAGAATGATGTATTTAGGACTATTGTACAGTAAAATTACAGTTTTTGTAAATTATTTATTTTTAAATTATTCCCATTTTTTAACCTGGTCTTTCTAAAAGACAAAACTAGCGTGTATACTTTTTCATGCACATGACATTTAACGTGTTAAATGATGCGGTATAATTAAAAAAATAAGCTCGTCCCCGACGAATTAAAGTCCCAACGAGCTTTACTTGGAAATGAATGACGATTAGCATTTCCTGGAGACGGATCGAGGACGGATGCGCTTGGGAAACATATCGTTCGCAGTGAAAAAGCAACTGTCTATCGCCGATACTCGCCGCGAGTGACAAGCGAAGAAAAACAGAGACACGTGGGAGTCATTGGTTCGCGTACTGGATTCGCATAGATTTCCCGTGAATGGCCGTCGCGCGCGATTGACGTGTTCAACAGAGGAAACAACGTCGTTTCTCGTGAAACGCACATCAACGGCAGATCCTGATGAAAGGCCGCGTGTAATTCTCCGAGTCGCGACAAAGGCAGACGCGAGAGCGTTTGTTGGGCGAATAATAGCTTCAATTTCGCGTCGATTTGTACCGTGGCAAGTTCGTTAATTCGCACGCAAGCATCGCACATCTGTCCAAAATACACGGCCGCGCGGCTAGAAAATACCTCAAATTAATATCGATATCGGTATCGACGATATCTTTGGTATCGAAGAAAAAAATTTCGGAATCGTTTCCAGCAATTATCCTCGATAAAACGCGCAGACATATCGCGCTATCTCGCTTTAAAAGAGAGATAAATTGCCGTTCCTCGCGTTGCAGCGAACATTTTAATAATATCGAGTCAATAATCGGCGTGCGATATTGATAAAAAAAAAAAGTTTGCCAGTCGAAAAAGATAGCGAAATTTCCATGGGACTTCTCACGGATATCGACACCCCCGAGAGATCAAGCATAACGCGATATCGTTACTTAATATCGCGATGTCGCGTAAGCGTATCCCCCGGATAAGGGGAGTCTTCCGGCGAGAGGACGGCATCGATCGTACTTTACGCAAACACGGAGAGTTACTTACTTACGGGAGGTGTCATCGTGATGAGGTGGGAGGGGGGGGGAGCGGGGGGACGGAAGCGAACGCGGCGGGCGGCGGGAAAAAGGTGCGAGGGAAAAAGCCGGCGAGTTCCCTTCCCCCCCTTCCCCCTTCCCTCCCCCGCGCCATGCGAGAGCCATCACGGAGCTACGGATTTATCACGCGACAGTGAACGGCCGCACAAAGCCGATAGATACGTGCGACAAACAAATCCGTCGTCGTGCATTGAACGACACGCCGTGCACGTGCTAACTTTAGCCCGCGGGAGGGGCGGGAGGGGTGGATCCGCGTTACGAGGTGACGAGTAAACGCCAAGTTCCGGTTCAAGTGCACGCCCGAATTTCGAAGCCCGGAGATGGAATCTCGGGATGGAAATATGTATGCGACTTGTGTGTGCGACTGCGATATAAAATCTTACGCATGTTTCATGTTGTTATTTGGAATATGAAATAAGGGAGGACTCTAATTAATCCGAAAATAATAGTTTTGGATTAATAGATTTGTATTTTTTTTAAATATTTTTTAAAAAATTGATATTTTATATAATATATATAAGAGGATTTTTTTGCGTGAAAGATATTGAAGGGTAAACTTGCTTGATACTCGTGAAAATAAAATTTTCCTTTATTATCTTAAAACAGGTCTGAAGATTCTTGTTAAACAAATATGAATATTTTGCATCCCTATTTTACATAATGCTGATGTAATATGATTCGTGAAAATATTATATAACTCTTGGAGTAAAAATATATACTATCGTAAAGCTACGTAAACATTATTTTTGTACGTAAAGTTCAGTTCTTACGCATACATGAAAATTGTTACGCAATTCTCGAGAACTCTTGATACTTATAACATATTATACTTATATATATTTCATTATAATAAAAAAAAGTTCACTAAATTATAAAAAC